AGTTGCACAGTCGAGTCTGACTCTTCACAACACCATGGACCACATCACGCCAGGCCCTCCTGTCTTCCGCCGTCCTCCAGAGTTTGCTTAATTTCATGTTCGTTGCATCAATAACACTGTCTAACCATCTCATCCTTTGCCGTCCCCGTCTTCTTTGACCTTCAATCTTTCCCAGCATCAGGGTCTTTTCCAGTGAGTGCTCCCTTCTCATTTGGTGCCCAAAGTATTTGAGCTTCAGCTTCAGTATCTGGCCTTTCAGGGAAAAGTTAGGGTTGATTTCATTTAGGATTGACTGATTTGATCTCTGTGCAGTCCAAGGGACTCTCAAGAGTCTTCTCCAGCACCACAATTCAAAAGCATCTATGCTTTGGCGCTTAGCCTTCCTTATGGTCCATCTCTCGCAGCCATACATTACTAAAAGTAAAACTAGGACTTCATTAAAAATGATTATTATCTGGCCTCCACCATCTGGCGCCATAGTCAGATGTGATCAAGATAAAAGGATCACACACCTTTCAATTGAATTTTTTAAAATGAAGAAAGGACAATGTTTTCGTTATTGTACAAAACTGAAGGCAAAAAAGATTCCCTTTTAAAGATAATCACATACTGTAGATAATAAAACAGCAAAACATATTAAAAACCACACATAAAGTAATATTATGACAACAAAACGTAATTACTGTAACTTAAGACTTGTCTTTGCTTTTACTTTATCTTTGGTTTTTTGATGAAAAAAGAAGTTAACAACGAACTCTTTCGTTTCTCAACAGTTTTCTGCACTGCACCCGCATTTTTTCTTTGTCCTCTTCTTCCAATGCTTTCTCCACTCTTTCTAGCAGGAGCTGTACTGTGTTGAATCCCACCATACCCTTTTTCTCAGCAGCCTCCTTTACACGTTTGGTTGCATCATTTAGCAATGTTCAAGCAATCATCCTCTTCTGTTGTCTCAACTTTTTCAGTTTTGCTTCCTTCTCTTGTATACTATCCTTTTCACTGTCTATCTTCTTAAACCTTTCTAACTCCTCTGCCTTTCCCCCTTTTTTATCCTTTTCACTGTCTATCTTCTTAAACCTTTCTAACTCCTCTGCCTTTCCCCCTTTTTTTCTTTTCCTTTTTGCTCCTCTTTAATGACACACTGTTCATCACAATACTGCTTGAAATGAATATGAACTGCTCTTGCAAGCTCCTGTGTGATATTAACATGGTATACATTGTTTTCATATATATGTAGACAGACAACCTTTATTGGCATGTGAAAATAGACAAACAGACAAACTTTATTGGCATGTGAAAAATAAAAGTACATTAAAATCATATACATGATATAAATTCCAGTATGTATCTATGCGGCAAGTTTCACTGGCAGTTTCATCTTCAAGTCTAAGAAGTTTCCATTCATCTGCAATCATGGCCAGTGGAATATCCATCAGGAGTGCTGCTGTTACTTTCATTATATCCTTGTGGGTTCCTTCCTTGACCCTCTGTGCTGGAGCTAAACATTGAAGATATATGAGGATGGGTTTGTCCAAAGATGATTGGAGTTTGTAGGCTGCTATGAATTTTTTTTTTTGCTCCCATTAAAAAGAGTAGCTGTTCTTTTCAGGAAGTTTTTTCAGTTCGTCACAGATTCTACTTCCACTGATTACTTCTCTCACAGGTATGTAGTGCTCATCACTGAAGGCTTCAAGAGACAATGGTGCTGAACTCTTACAAACATGATTCATTATGGGTCTTGTGAGTGTTTTTACTTCACTGTGCATCACATGCACCAAAGGCTCTTCTTTCTGGAACACTCCAGTGAACTTTGTAAATAAGCGGGCACTCGTGCAAAAAAAATCACCTCTGCTTTCATTGTCTCATGTTTTAAGTGCTTAATTATGTTTCTATACATTGTGGAAGGTTTCACCAAATCACTTTTACTCTTAGGAACAAAGTCCTTAAAGTACTTCATAACTGAACTGGTAACTTGAGCATCGACCTGGGGGATCTGTAAAAGCTTGTTAGTGAAAGATGGTATGGCATATAATTTTTTAAATAAACTCTGTGTATTTTCTATTTACCATGGGCTTGACCCCCCTCTGCTTTTCATTGCTCTTCAAAGAATTCTGGGGGAAACCCTCTCAGATGTACTCGATCTGGGATGAAATTCCTTATTTCCCTTTGGTCTGATTTTTGTGATCGGAAACTGTAGAGGTCTGATCCTCTCCTCCATGGGCCTCTTAAAGCTCTAAGGCTGCCACAGTTTTTGATAACAGATATTGGTAGTCATCCAACTTAAAGAATCTAACCAACTGCTCAGGAATCTCAGTCTCATCCTTTTCCCCTTGTCAGAGAGAAATTCCCCCTCTTCCCTGCCATCTCCCTTGCTATTATAAGAGGGGTCCACCCCCCATTGTGAGAATTCTCACACCCTTTTTCTATTAATGGACTCTTTCAGGGCTGCTTTGGTGGGCAAGTTAAGACCTCGTCTTGTTTATGTAATTTTTTCTGAACCCTTCTGCCTTGGTGGAGAAGGTGAGGAAGAGGTACTGCATTGGGCTCTGCCTGCTCTAAGGCTTCTCCTTTGGTAAAACCTTTTGATTTTCTCCCTCATAGTTTGTCTAAGGAGGGAATAGAATTCAAGGGTAGAGAAGGGGCCTGCTTTCTTTTATGTTACTTATCTGCCGGCCCAGTATGCTGTCATCCAACCGGGATCCAGGCTTTATGGTTCCGCTGCTGCTTCTTTCTGACATAGTTGTTCTCTCTCTCACTGGGTCACTCGCCTTCCAGAAGGCTTATAGAGATAGGAGGGCCCTCTCCACAGCCTCCATCTGGGTGTGCAAAATGGCTGACACTCGTAGTCGACAAGACTTGGGGGGGGGGGCCCTGCAGGTCCAGGGAGACACTTTGGAGAGGCAGCACTTTTTCATGGCTCCAACTGTGTCAATTTGGGTAAGGGTGCTGAGGCATGCCTAGTGCAGTTCTTGTTGACCCCGCCGGTGGTCTCCCTGGCCTTGGTGGTGAGAGGAGTTTCTAATTCCAGCTCAGAGAGGAGGCCGTCACTGCCTTCCCATTCTTCCATGGCTTGAGCAACTGAAAGGACCCGCTCTGCAAGCTGCCGAATAGATACTGGCCACCACAACTAACAAAAATCTCCAGGTCTTCTTTCACTTTTCTCCAAGGTCAAAGACTCAAGGAGAAGAGTTTTAGGGATAAGAGGTAGAGATTAATATAGAAATAAAGATTAATGGGTGAAAAGAATGAAGAAAGTGAATGTAGATGTAGCACAGCCTACTCTAATGCTGCTCCTCTTATGAGGCAGGAAAAATTGAGATGGAGGGTGACTCCCACAGCAGAGACAGGAAGGGGAGAAAAGTTGTTCCTGCCTCCCTGAATGGACAGTGGGAATCACCCAAGGTGTTCTCTGCCTCAGAGGGAGAACCTGATTTAGACTTCAACAGCCTTCATTGGCAAGTACATCTTTTACTATCGCAACAGCCCATTCTTTACATGGAGCCTAGTGAAGGATGAGCATCTCTGAAGTTAGGCTGGGTCTTAAAAGCACTCTGGGAGCAGCAAGATTTCACAGTGTCCTGACCAATTTGTAAGCATACCAGTACAAAAATGATGAGTCTCCCACCTCCCCTTCAGCTCGAAACATGGATAAGGGAACGAGATCTCTCTCATCAGAAGGCACTAATTTACTGCAGTGTAGCCAAGTCATCAGGACAAACACTCTTTTCTTTAAAATCAGCTCTTTAAACTGGTGATAACACTTCCCTGTGTGGAGCCTCCTAAAAGTAAAATGAACCACAGGGTGCTCCATTTCTTTGAAAGGGCTCAGCCCCTAGTTTTGATTGTCAAATTCTCACTGGATTAAACACAGAAACACAAATTCATGAACTACCAGTTTCAAAGGTACTGCATCATCTCATAGTCAAGTGTCCACTTCTAGTACTACCGACACCACAAGAAACCATTTCAACAAGACTCCAATTTACATACCAAGATTTCAGATTGCAAGCAGCCACATCTGATTTTGCTTTTGACCAGACTCAAAAAGCTATGATACCTTTTAAGAAGGCCAACTAAAATGACATAATACAGTATGCAAACGTTCAAGTTCTCCAGAACATTGGACTTACTCTACTAAGCAGTGTGTTAGCTATGCAAACCTGGCTGGTATTCTACAAAACGTGTAAACTGGCCCTTAAGATCATGGCCTAAACCCCACTGCAACATCCAGTCTGATAAAGAGCTCTGGGGAACTAGAAAGCTTGCACTTTTGTGTTACTTTGGCAGGTCTTAAAGTATTACGCAGCTTTTGTTTTTGAACATTATACACAACTGTGTTTAACAGTCCAACAGCTTCTTTAGATAAGCAGACATTGCCTCAAGTTGGCAGATCAGGAAGAGAGAAGCAGGATAAAGGAAATTCAGGAAAGTATTCACTACTAATTCCAGACCAACTATCTAATTTTCTTGCAGTCCCCAGCTACATCTTTACACAGGGAGGACAGCGGACGAGTACTTTTTGAAATGGGAAAATGGTGGTTGCGAAGGAGTCAATGAAAAAATGGCTTCTCTCTCCATGTAAATGAGGATTTGGGCTACCTCTGCACAGAGCGGATGCAGATCCTTTAGAATAAGTGCTTTAGTAAGTGGAAGGCTTCAGACACAGAGCATACTCAAGTATGCACTCATTTGACTCCCTACAGTAAGACAAGAGTAGTTCTCAGGGAAGCATTTAAAAATAACTACATATTCAAGGACAAGGGCCCTCAATGTCAGCATAACATCAGGTAAACTATCAAGTATATGAGTTTCAATTTAGCATATTTCCAATGGAGACAGCAAATTCTAAAGGATTTTTTCTCCATAATAAAGCTAGTAGCATCATACCTTAGCTTGTGAGTATAAAGAAAGCCTACTTGTTCCAGAGACACAGCCCATACTATCTTTAGGAACTGTGTGTCACCTGTGCAGTCGTATCACTTAGCTTTATTTTTTTTACATACTTTTATTGTTTTGGTTTGAAGTCTCAATCCATTCAGAGTATTGATCGCTTTTTCAGCATCCTTGGGGTCAATGTAGTTCACAAATCCATATCCCAAACTCTGGCCTGATGGGCAAAAACACAGAAAAGAGAAATATGACTTATTCAGTGCTGTAAGCCATTAAAAATACAGATCTAACAAGTAAGTTATTTGTATACTGAAAACAAAAGAACAATTTCATTAAAGGGCCATTTTTGTTAACTTATTATCTAAAAAGAGTCACAACAATAAAGTAGTTTTCCAGACTGTTCTTGTTCTGTAACAAGCTACTGTGTTATGGTATTGCCAAACGAGGTCACTGTTGAAAAAAATGTTTGAAAACAGACTTCCAATTAACATAAAAGCAACATTTTATGGACTTGTGAATTTCTTTTATTTGTTACAGCAATTTTAAAAATTGGGTGTTTCATAATTATAATTAATGTGAAAATGAAACAAATCCCCCCCCCCCAATATCATGTAATGGGGGAAAAAATCTTTGATTTTGTTCTGGTTTCTTTTGCTATTGCAGTATCCTGCTTCTTTTGGTTTCACTTTTGCAAGGCAGGCAGCAATTTCCTAACAAGAGGGCACACACACTGGCGCTGATCAATTACAATTGTCAAAACAATGGGGAGATGGACTTCTGCAGCCCTGGAAACACCAATAGTGGCATTCCAAAGTTCGACAGGCAGCGTTGGCCACCAATAAGAGAGCTCCTATTATGCACTATGATATATCCCCAGCTCACACAAATCCATTGTTTTCCATCGGCAGCAGGAGCACCAGGCATTAGTTAGAGGCAGAGACAGAGAGGGAAGAGAACTGGAAGTCATTCCTCCTGTGAACAGTGGGGTTGGGATGTTTGGTGCTTGCTTACTCAGAGCTCTGAGCCACCTGCTTCTAAGCTTCTTAAAAGTGCAGTCTGTCACAGTTGCCTTGCCAGAACATCCCCCTGCCAATACTTATTTCTGAACACCTCTGCGAGTTTGATGCCTCTAGCTTGCAGGGAGTCCGTTAAACACACTTCTGAACCTGTGGCTGTGATTTACAGCACCTGCTTTAGAGGGCTGTAACTTGGGTCTCCAAATCCAATCCTCACCAAACTTGGAGGGCAGGTAGAAGAAACGAACCTCCATTTTCCTGGTTCATGCCCATTCCTAGTCTGCTGCTCTCCAAAACGTATTCCTCTGCCAAGCAAACCCACCTCAAGGTCCTCCTCCTTCTGCCTTGCCTGTCTTCCTACAATCCTTACCTTCCATGAGTCACCACATGCCCTTGCCTCGTCAGCCTCTTCCCCATGCTGCTTTTCTCCAAGCTCAGTGGCTGCAGCTGTCTGGGTACTATTTGGCATCTTTCCTATCAATTGTCCAATAGGCCTAAATGTTAAAAAAGGGTGCTTTTCATTGCCTCAAAACCAGAGAGGGGCTTCATTCTATCTGTCTGCAATCCAGCAATACATGCCCTTGCCTCGTCAGCCTCTTCCTCGTGCTTTTCTCCAAGCTCAGTGGCTGCAGCTGTCTGGGTACTATTTGGCATCTTCCCTATCAATTGTCCAATAGGCCTAAATGTTAAAAAAGGGTGCTTTTCATTGCCTCAAAACCAAAGAGGGACTTCATTCTATCTGTCTGCAATCCAGCAATGTGGGTGTCCTTGGGAAATATTACACACACACACAAACAGTTTTGTTCAGTTTGGATGGAAAACCAAGAACATACAGACCTGATAATGGGGGGGTAGGGTTTCCCCACTGAAACCAATGGGAAATAACAGTGGAACAGAATTATGAAAATGAATCAATGACAAAACCAAACCATACAAAACAACCCAATTCCCTTTGGAATGAACAAAAATGATGGGATAAAACAAATCCTTGTACACATCTAAAGTTTTATTGCACTGTATCCAACAACTCCATTCAACTATGAGTTGTATGTTCCATCAATAAGGCCATATTCCCGCAGACACAAGAGACTTCCACTGTGGGTAATGTACTTTACACCAATGGAGCATGCTGCTTTTATTTAACTGGAGTGGTATAACAGACCCTTCTCTATGAAGTAGCTTTAGCTGTCCCATCCTGTGTCAGTAATATGTAATGGCTATTTTCTCAGCCCAGGACCTGAGGAAGGGTTAGGGTCTCCCTTTAATTTAAACGACAGAAAATGGCACTTGAGATGCTTTTTGGAATTCAAAAATAACTGAAGGTTTTTAACATCAAGGGGAAAGGTAAAGAAAATACCAAGGTAAAATAATGTAAGCACAAACTCTTATTCTTATGTATCAGGCTAGTGAGAGTTTCTTGAATTATTCACAGTTACTATAGTTCTTTATTTTGAAAGGCTTTTGTTCCTGGGTTTTCCCAAACCACTCCAGCTCAACTTTATTTGTATAACTGCCAACTCTTTTGGTGCCCAGAAGGCTGGTGCCCTCTTGCCAGTACCCAAACCCTTTATCTTGGAACACCAAAAAATCTTCTTGAGTTGTTAACTGACTTTCAAAATCTGCACAAGTTGTTTCCAATCACACTAGACCAGGAACTCTCTACTCCTTAGAGAGAACATTCCCTGTTTGACTGGGTAAGGATTGCTCTTCTCCCTAGAAGATTTCTCCCCTTTTCCTTTGGCCTGAATGGGAGACTTCTTATGCTACCCAAACCTCCTTAGCAAAAATTTTTCCCAGTTCACTGTCTGTGTTCAAACTGCTCTCAGTTAATGCTGAATTAAGATTATATTCATTCACAGATGAATTCTGACTTTGTCAGCACTAAACCCTTTTTTGTCAGGGCTAGACCAAAACGATCTCAACACACATCTTGTCACAGTTAAGGCAGGAATCTGAATCTCCTCTCTTCAGCATCCAGCTCTCACAAGACTTTTTCTGCTCAGCTGATGCCAACCAATCAGATTGCCTGGAGCAGCCTGTCACTCATGGCTCTCCGGCTCTGTGAAGTATTAACCCTTCACAGTCCTGTAGTTTTATGTACAGCACTTTTAAGCCTCTTAAAAAGTGCAGTCTGTCACGTGGTAAGATACAACCCACAGGTCCTTGTGAAAAGCCATTGCCAGGGCTTGTTGGGGTTGTGATATACAGGGGAATCAGGCAAAAATCACTGTCAGTGGAACATCTTTAGGAGGCAATTCATAGTGACTGAGAGGAGTCCAAAAACACCTTCCACCTGGAAGAAGCAGCCTTACTTTTCTTTCAACTTTGCAAATAAAAACAGCATCAAAGCATCAAATTATGAAATGATTAAGATGTCCAGTTTTTAAAAAAGAGTAAAGCTCCAAACCCCTTGTAAGCTGGTAACTGGTAACCAAAGTTCTCTACTTGGATTACAATTCACATACACCCATCCATGTCTGATGACTTCTTTAGATGATACAGAAAATGCTGTATCAAATGATAGCCAATATCATGTTTGGGGATAATATAATCCTAACCTGGTTGTATAATACATTTTTCTTATAATTTCTGAAATAACAGTTCCCAGCTTTCTGCAGATGTTTTATGATATAACAAGATAATCTGGCAAGCTACAATACTAATGTCTATACAAGCCCCAAACTGTCATTTCTGACCATAAACAACAAATGTATACCTATCAATACAGTGAATATAACTAATTGCACTGCACCAAAAAACTAGCAGACTATCAATATTTATTTTTCATCCTATAAGGGAGCCATATAAGATTCTACAAGCAATTACTGTGCAATAAATAGTGGCACAAAACGCATTGCTGTAATGTCTCTACTATAAACTGAATACATTTTGCTCCAAACCTGTCGAGGCAACTGAAATACTACCTGCCAATATGAAAACAGATGGAATTGGGACAGGTACTGAGCACTGGAAAGACATTTCATTTCACTCACATTTGTCATAAACCAAGTACCAGTGTAGCATTATAGCAGATCCAGAAAAAGATGTAATCCACTTTCATGCCCGTCCAGCTGATTATTCTCCCCCTAGACTGCAACAAGTAATCAAATCTTCAGAAGGATAGTTAGAAATTCAAACCTTGCCAGAAATGGTTTTAAACCAGATTATCAGATGTCCTCATACAGTGCACAAAGCACTAAGTAACTCAGAATGTCCTCAATTACATTCATGCTACAGATGTACAAACGAAGACCAGGATTTGAACAGCTAAAATGACCTTCGAGAACTCTGGTAGATCTAGTTTTAAACCCAAATGATGTAAAAGCTTTCCTCAAAAAAGGACAAGGATAAAGTAGACAGGTAATCTTCTCTGATGGGATTCTTAAAGAATTTTAAACCACAGGGAGAATCCAGATGAATTTAGAACTGTAACGTGAGGTTTGGATTCTATATGACCTTTTAGAATATAATTCTGTCCAACAAGTCACAGATAATAATGACTAAGGAATGATCCACAGGGAAAATATTTAAGTTGCCTAAGTACTCTATAGTTATTATATTTACAAGTTCATCTATGATAACTAATTGGGGTGCAGGACATCACTGTGTGTGAGCATGCTTGCTCTGAGAAGATCTGGAAGTTTCTTACTTTTTGCTTTCCCTGATATTACAAGCCATTTATCTTCCAAAGTACTCTGTCCCTTCAACCCATCTCAAATTAAGACAGTAATATGTGTTGTTGTTGTTTTTAAAAAACCCTGTATGGCCACCAGTGTTCCCTCTAAGCTGAGGTAGTGTGAGCTAGCTCACAGTTTTTTAGCCTCCAGCTCACACATTTTTGTCTCAGCTCAGGAAGGATGGCCTCCAGAGCAAGCTAATTTATGCAGTAGCCAAATCGTTTGCTCTTAACTTTAATGCCAGTAGCTCACAAAGTAGAATTTTTGCTCACAGGACTCCATAGCTTAGAGGGAACATTGATGGTCACATACAAAAATGACACCAGCAACCTCTTTGCAAGTTGCCAGAAAAGAAAGCAACAGCAATATGGCTTAAAGAGGAGATTCCAAGAATACCACAGATATGATTCTAGCAGCAACAACCATAATTCACAAACTCAGAACTAGCATTTGAACAAACAAGACAGAGCAGAAGCAAAAGCAGAGATGATGGTAGGTTTAGATCCCCCCCCCCCCAAAAAAAA